ACAGCAGGATCTGGTGGAGCACCTATGGAGGCTCAAGGGTGACGCCGGCGTGACGTGCGATGAAATATGAGTTTTTATTTGTTGAACTATATAATTTGTATTGAACTATTTGTTGTTGCACTATTTTGTTGAACTATTTTTTGAACTATGTGATAATAAATACTTATGTTGGTAATTGAACGCCGAGCCACGACGAACCACGCCGAATATGTGCCTATTCTCGCCCATATGGGCCCTTTATTCGCCGACAGTGGGCTGAAAACTGGGCCAATATCGGCGCCTGGGGGCGACGGCTGGATGCCCAACTGCCCCCAGCGCCGATTGTATTGCCGGCTCGCCCCCAGGCAATTGTTCTATGTGAGAGAAACAAAAAAGAGAAATTTACATAAGCAATATTAGCCAAAGTTTAAGATTTAAGACATGTTCTATGTTAGTTGTGTTGCATAGATCTTAAAGGAACATTGGAGAGCTTAGATAGATGGGCCTGGATGCAGGTGCTCAAAAAACTGCGTCCCTCCCATAAGGGCATGTACAATGGTGCTATCTTAGGAGTGCCACGTAGGATAAATGATGAGGTGGAGGAGAGAGAACTCATAAGAGAAGGCTTGTCTTCTCTTATTTAAGATAAGACAAGAGATGATCTCTTAGCACAATACGCCTCACCATATTTTTAGGAATTGCTAGTTATTGAAGATAAGGCTAAGAGATGACCCATTGTAGATATTTTTCTTTGTCATCTGTAAATTACATGCAAAACTTAAGATAAGACTATTTTATCAACCATTGTACATGCCCTAAGCGCCGCATGTTCCACACCGGGGCGTCAGGCGCGGGTGCGGCGTGTGGAGGCTGCGACATCGGAGGCGCAGGCAGGTAGTACCGGGCCGCATAGCTCGGCTGCCCGTATGGAGGAGCACCGTACTGGAGCGGCGCATACGCCGTGTAGGCGTGCCCCAGGCGCGACCGAAGAAGATACGGTGCTGGACCAGGGCGGGGAAGAGGAGGCAGCGCGACCGGGTAAGCATACGCATGCCCAGTCCATGGCGGCGGCGAGCCGCCGGCGCCCTGGTAGCCACCATTGTTGGTGTACCGGCGCCGCTTATTGTGCCCCTGGTTTGGCGAGGGTGAGCCGGGCCCGGGCTTGCCGCTGCTCCCGAGTCCAGGCGCTGGAGGCTTGGAGTGGCTCCCTGAGGTGCCGCGGGTGCTGGTGAACGCGTGAAGGCAGCGAGGGCGCCATGCATGGGAGCCGGAGCCAAGGAGATCAGCGCCGAGCGGTTACCGCGTTTACCGTTACCCCACGAAAAACACTCATGCCGAGCAAAAAAAATTGAGCTTTTTTGAAAAATTTGAATTCAAACAATGACCCTGTTAAATACAGGGCATCTCTGATGTAGCAACAGAACTGGTGCTGGCGCAGTGGCAAAGGCATGCTTTTTGGAGCTGCGAGTCGCGGGTTGGAGTCTTTCACCCTCGCGTTTTTCTTTCTTTTTAAGAATGCAAAAGAAAAAATGTTTTTCTTTCTTTTTAAGAATGCAAAAGAAAAAATGTAAAAGTTTTGGCCAAAAATCAAACTCAAGATCTGAGAGCTAGCAGCAGCGGTTGGTGCGTGTGAACAGCCACTACGCTAGGGGAGCATTACTGATCTTAGAGTGTTAAAACTCTATCTATATCAACTTTGAAATATTTGGATTCAAAATTTGATTTTAAATTTTGTCTGATTTTTTTTGGGTATTTCGTGGTTACCGTGGTAACGTGAATTTCGGTGCCCCTCGAGAAAAAAGGACCGATTGCGATCGCCTTAAGATAGGCACAGAAGGAGGAGACAGAGGCGTCCCCTTGCTTGATGGCGTAAAGCTCCGTCTTGAGGTAGAATTGCCGGGAGCGCTTGTTGTTGAGGAAGAGGGCCTCGATCGACGACCAAAGCTCGAAGGCAGTGGCACCCCGGTCGAGGATGAACCGATGAAGCCGCAGAGCTCCCGTAGAGCCACTTTTTGATGGCCTTGTTGCAGATCTTCCACGGCACGTCGCCGCGGCGGTCGGTGAAGTCCGGCGCGAAGTGATCGGCGACACGCCGCCGCCGCTTCCTCCCCGGCGGCCTCCTCCCCTCCTTCTCCTCCCCTTCCGGCGTCCACAGCCCCTCTTCCCCACAGTCCCCTGCCCGTGGTCACCACCCCGCTGCCCATCCAAGCTGCGCCGCCCATCCCTGGTATCTACCAGACTCCGGCGATGGCTAATGCTCTTCGGCCAACATTCATCACCACCTCAACGTGAAGCTGGACATGAAGGGCGCGCACTCGAGACGGTGGATCATAAGGAATGGCTAGAAATCGAATTTTTTGTTTGAGGCCAGTCGATTTTTGCACCGTTGAATGGAAAATCAATGGCCCACAGTCTTCTTCAACCTCTGGACACATCCCCTTCCTTGAGCCGCCAGCCACCACCGGCCTAACCGTCGGCCCCCACCACCCGCCACACCACCGCCCGTCACCACCGCCGTCAACCACCGCCCGTCACCACCGCCGTCAACCACCGCCCCAATCCTGAACCCTAAGATAGACACTAGGGTGATGACGGCGGCCCCTTCCTTCTCTCCGGCGAGCCCCCACCCCCTTCACCTTCCTTCTTCTTCCCTCATTCAAAAATCGATTGACGCCGAATTAGAATCAGCTGACTGATGTGCAGCTAAATTGAATTAAATAAGGGAAGGGATATATATAGAGAGAGAGAGACAAGGCGTCAAACTAACAGACTAAGAGCATCTCCAACAGCCGCGCTAAACTAGCGCCGCACCGCAAATTAGGCCGTTTTAGCGCGCGCGCAACGCGGCGGGTCGCTCCAGCGGGCGCGCAAAAACGGCGCTCGCGCGCTATAACGGGTTGGGCGCGCGGTCGAAAACACTTAGCCGCGCGGTGTATTTCGGGCGCCCGCTGCAGCGCGCGGCACACTCCAGCGCTCGCGCCCGCACTTCCTCTCCCACTTCCACCCCCCGTCCGGCCGCGCCGCCGCCCGCGCCCCCCGGCGACCGTTCAGGCTTCCCCGGCCTATCCACGCGCGCCCGCGCTTCCGCCCCATCCCCTCCTAGTCCCGCCGGCGATCGCGCACCTCCGTTGTCCGAGGAACAGCGCCCGAGCGCTCGCTGCCGCGCCGCGCCCGCAAGGTGTTTGACAAAACGCCTACAAGGTATGTATTGCTCAAACTTCATGAATTTGATGCATGTTTTGAATTGTAGTTTTTATAGTATAGTATTGAACATTGTAGATGAGTTCGTCATATGATTCTTCCGAAGAAGAATTTGATATGGAAGAGGAGGATCTTGCAATGATCCTAGCTATGCATATAAAAAAAAACCAAAGCATGGTGGTTCGGTTATGGGTCGGCAGAAAATTTGGAGGGATAGGATCGATGCTCACAACAGATTGATCAGGCATTATTTTGCGGAGAATCCCATATACCCCGAGTCGTATTTTCGTCGCCGGTTTAGGATGAGCACCGAGTTGTTCAGGCGCATTGCAGAGAAACTAGCGAGCCATGACCGTCTTTTTCAGCAAAGGAGGAATGCCGCCGGAGAGCTCGGGCATAGCACCTTTCAGAAGGTGACAACAGCTTTGCGTATGTTGGCATACGGTATACCGACTGATCTTGTTAATGATCACTTGGCTATGGGTGAGAGCCAAGCCATCATGTGTGTCAAGCGCTTTGCAGTGGGAATTGTGCAAGTGTTTGGCGAGGAGTATTTGAGATCTCCCAATGCTGAAGACGTCGCAAGGCTATTGGCGATGAACAAAGCTCGTGGTTTTCCTGGCATGCTTGGCTCAATAGATTACATGCATTGGAGTTGGAAGAATTTTCCAAAGGCATGGCATGGGCAATTCCACGGCCAAAAAAAGGGTTCCACTATAATCCTTGAAGCGGTGGCCGATTAGGAGACTTGGATTTGGCATGCATTCATTGGAATGCCTGGATCTTTGAATGACATCAATGTTGTCAACCGGTCACCACTGATGAATAAGATTGCAAATGGTGAGTTGCCACCGGTGCAGTTTGTAGCAAATGGCAGTACGTACAACTATGACTATTATCTAGCGGATGGCATCTATCCAAAGTGGCAAACCTTCGTGAAGCCGTTGAAAAAGCCGAAAGGTAAGAAAAATCTTGACTTCCACAATGCTCATGCGACGGCTAGAAAAGATGTGGAGAGAGCATTTGGAATTTTGCAAGCCCAATTTGCTATTGTGAGAGGACCGGCTAGATTTTGGGATCAAAAAATGCTTTGGTACATCATGCACGCTTGTGTGATCATGCACAACATGATCATCGAGAATGAGCGTGGCCAAGATTTAGACTACTCACAGTATGAGCTCTTGGGATATCCCGTGTGAGTGCGACGGAGGGTTGAAAGGGTAGCCCGTTTTATTCCCTCTTATCATGCCATTCGGCGTCCCGCAACGCACAATGAACTTCAGAATGATTTGATTGAAGAGTGGTGGGCATGACATGGACGACAAAGAGCATGATGATATCTGCATTCGACATTGTATTGTTCATGAACTATTTGTTGTGTTTATTGCATTTGTTGTACTGAACGATAAACTATTTGTTTGAGTTGTAATGATAATAAAATTGAACTATTTATTGTTGATTTATTTTGTTTGTTTGATCATTTTTGCTCATAATACATGTATATGTGGTTTGTGCGGCGCGCGCGCTATATTTTTGCGCTCTGCTGGAGCGGCGCGCGCGCGCTGCATTATAGCGCGGCTGCTGGAGCCAGCGCAGGCGGGCGCGCTAAACCAGCCGAAGCGCGCGCGGTAAACAGTGCTTAGCGCGGCTGTTGGAGATGCTCTAACAGCCGATCCTAATTCTACGTGAGTGAGGCGGCTGCATGCATGGCGCATGCACAAGATAAGGCTGACTTTTTTTTTGTCGAGGTTAAAAAGAGTTTTATTTGATCACACTGGTAGACTAACTAACTTTTTTTGCGGGTAAAATCTTTGCATTACTCAAATCTCAATGTCCATACAATCAGCCTCGGCTAGCTCTAAAGAAACTGATGGGCCTGACCCAACCCAGGTCATTGTTCTGCCCTCTTGTCTAGAAAACTTTGCTAAGCTATCGCTAACCTTATTTTGCGTATGATTTATATGAGTAATACCAGAATCACGAAGAGACATCAGGTGTCTAATTTCTTTAACTAAAGAAGAGTAGATCGATCTATCAATATCCATCGCTTGAATCAGCTTGACTGCAATAATGGAGTCCATCTCAATAATGATCGGCAAGTCGCTTCTCTGAATTGCAAAAGACAGGCCTTTCATGCAAGCACACAACTAAGCTTCAAGAATTTCTCGGCATGAAAAAAGCTCCCTGCAAGCTGAGTAAATGACATTACCTTTGTCATCTCGCAGCACCATCCCCGCACCAGCCGTACCATTTACTGCAAAGGACCCATCAGTATTCAGTTTCACCCAACCCGCCATAGGGGGACACCATTTGACAGGAGTGCTCTCAACTATTCGAACATGTGGATTTTTAAGTGGCCTGTCGTATGTAACTAAGGACTTCCCTTTGCTCGGATCCGAAGATAGATCAATTTTAAGACCAACCAAGGAATCAAGGTAACTCACCAAATACCTCCTGGACGCTTCCATTGGGGGCGCAGGTTTATGGTGTAACACTTCATTACGGATGTGCCAAATCCTCCACAAAGTCATAAGAAGCATGCACCTCTCGATTTCTGGCAATGGGTCAAGGACATGAAGCAGCCATTCCTTACCTGTATTTCTAATAGCAGCCAAGTCAGGTAAGGACCAAACCTCCGACATTGTTGACCATAATTCTCTAGCAAAAGTGCAGCGACAGAGGGGATGGAAGTTATCTTCCGGCTCAACAGCACAAATTGGACAAAGGTCATTAACCTCCAGACTCCTACTGTGCTTCTTCTGCCATGTCGGCAAAGCATTAGTAGCGACTTTCCAAGCAAAGTTTCGAACTGTAGGAGGAACATCGCAAGACCAAATAAGGTTCCAACAAGAACGGCGACCATCCGGACTGGAACTAGATCCCGCTGCATTCATTCTGTGAGCTTCATCGAAGGCAAATTGATATGCACTCTTCACAGTAAAAATACCATATTTGCCTGGACCCCAAGCAAGTGTATCATCTTCCAACCGGGGCGAAGCTCGAATTTTAATAATTTCCAACACATCAGGCGGCAAAAAATACTTCTGTAGCAATCCTATATTCCAAGAACCATTAGCATTCAACAATTCAGACACAAAACGTATACGGCATCTGCCCTGAAGCATGATAGGTTTGAATGAGAAAGGACGGGGTATCCAATTATCACGCCAGACTCGGATGCTCCTGCCATTCCCAACTCTCCAAACCAAACCTTTTTTCAAAAGCTCCAGCCCATAAGAAATAGCCTGCCAAGATGATGAGGCATTCCCAGAAAAAACAGTGTCCTCTAGTTTCCCTTCTGGATAGTACCTGGCCTTCAGAACTTGTGCACATAAGCTCTCTGGTCTAGTAATTAAACGCCAAGCCTGACGAGCTAATAACGCTTGATTAAACAGACGAAAATCCCGGAATCCATCACCGCCTTTATTCTTTGGCTGTAACAAATCATCCCAAGCACGCCAATGAACCTTCCGTTTACCATTTGAGGAACCCCAATAGAAGCCCCTCACCATCCTAGTGAGCTCATCACATACAGAAAAGGGTAGTTTAAACACGCCCATAATGTAAGTGGGTAATGCTTGCGCTACAGATTTGATGAGTGTCTCTCGACCAGGCTGAGCGAGGAACCCGTCTCCTCACTGAATAAGACGTTTTATGAGGCTCATTTGCAAATTTTGGAAACGTCCTTTAGACATACGGCCATCAGGAGTTGGTAGACTAACTAACTAACTGTAGTCTAACACTGAAGCATTTCCATCTGCAACTTCAGAAGGTGTTCCCGGCGACGAAGATGGCGCCTCTCCCAGAACTGCGATGCCAGCGTCGAGAACTGCTACAATCTCCTCCTCCATCTTCTTCCTCCTGCTCACCACGGGAGTCCACTCCGGGTTATCCTCGCGAATGAAGCTGTTCATCTAATGTATATCTATAAATGAATGTGATTGCTTGTTTCTCGGTAGATCAACAGCGTACCTTGAATTAATTATAACAGCTATGTCGTACACATCAAAGATAGACGGATATCATAATTGGACATGGATAGACGGGTAGCATAAAGGACATGGAAGAAGAGAAACGTGGCATTCGGCACATACAACTAGTAGTAGTAACTGTACAACCCATACACCGACTTATATATATATTCTCAAACAACAACTGAACACAATACATTACATATTTATATATTTCTTATTCTTACAGCACCCATTCATGCATACATTTCTTGACTGATACACCAACTGGAACAATACAGTACTACTAGTACATTTCTTTATGACAGAATACACCAAGTGCTCCGGCTTAAATGTAAAACAACATGGTACATTCATAATGCTCACTGTAACTTGAAGTTCCTGGTCCTTTGTAAGAAGAGCAGCACATCTCTAGCTGCCAGGGGGCTGTTGGCATGGATCTTGTCGAATTCTCTAATGTCGTCTTTGTCCTTGGTCCAACTTTTGCAACCACTCTCCTCCCACCATTGGAGCGCACGAGACAGCGAGCCCCATTGCACAACGTACGGTGCCTCCTCTTCAAGCATGTAGATTGGTCTAGGGTTGTCCCACTCGTTCTTCAGTCGTCTGTTTAGCTGGTCAAATCTGTGTCCTTCACAAAAGGTGACGATTAGTGTTACCAGCGCGGATCTAAGGTGCGGCCTTGGCGTGGTGCCAGGATTATAGCTCGCCAACGTCCGGAATGCACGTAAGGTGGCGGCTTTGCCCAAGGGAACTTCATACAGGTCTATGTGTGATCTTTTGGTGCCGTTTGGGAACAAGGGAAGAAGGTTTGGGTAATCGTGTTCAAAGGGCAGTTCCCTGGAGCCAGGCACGATTGGCTCGAATCGTTTGAAATGGTTCCACTGGAGAGTGGTGTCTTTGAAGCCCGGGACGTACAGGTCATCGTCGCACAGGGCGAGGGTGGCTGTACGCCCAGGCACGTTGTCAACCATATTTATCATGATAAACCGGTTGGGACGGGCTTGAAAAAAAGCCCGCCTCGGGGCAAGAAACTGCCTAGACAAAAGGCCAGACACGCGGGTGAACGAATGGCTCGAGACGTTGTACTCAACATTGAGTAAACTCTCTGGGTCCAGTGCGTGGTGGAGGGGGAGGGAGAAGAAGAAGAAGAAGAAAATTAACGACATGGTGAAGTGAAGTGTGTGGTGCACCAGTGACTATGATGCACTGAGGGAGACTCGGATCAACACTATTCTATTTATGTGGTGATGGTGCCATCTCAACAGCGCCTGCCAAGAAGCGTGAAAACAAGAAAACGAGAGGCCAAGAAGTGTGATTTTTTTGGTGTAACGAACAGTGTAGGTGCCAAGCGTGTCGTTGTCAGGGTGTTAGGTCTGTCGAGGACGAGGGAGGGCCATTGCGCCTGCCATCTTCTTCACCGCCGTCACCTTCTCGCCCGGACATGGAAGAGGGAGATCCGCGAGCTAGCTCGTTCTTCCTCCTCGCCTACGGCTAGCAAGGGGCTTGGCCGCATCCGGAGACGAGACGACCATGGCGCGGACCTCTTCCTCCTCGCCTCCCGCTCTGCGCCTGCGCGGTGGCTCCCGGGGCTACCACTGTTCAGCAAGCAACTGTGGGTGGTCGGCTTCTGCCCAGCGTCGGGGCCGCCCCGCTCCGGTGTGCCGGCGCGTCACCCCATCTTCTGTGCCGGCGAGTTGTGGTGCCACAGCCACGGGTACATTCCAGGCCGCCCATACTTCCGGCGCGTCGTCTTGTCGGGCAAGAAGAACAAGGGCAGGCGGAAGCCCACGGCTTCGGCGTCTCCACCACCGCATCCTGCTGCCCGGCGGGGACGGTTCCCAGCACCTCGACCGCCGTCTATGTCGCCGCTGCCTCCGGTGCTTCCGTCGCTGTGCCCAATGCAAAAGAGAAAGTTGCACCTGGGCGGTGATTTCAGTTCGTCATGCAACGTGCACCGCCAGCCTTTCTGTACGCATGTCACATGCAGCTTAGAGATTAGCTATAGTTGACAAACCCTACATGAACAGTAAGTAACACAGGTGGGAATCCTGCAGCTAGCCGGTAGCACTGTACGTCACATTTGACATGCATGCACAGTCACACAACCTCTCTTTCCTCTCTGCTCACGTTCTCTGTCTCACCTGTTGCATGCATGCACACATGCGTGCACACTCTCTCCTCACACACACACTCTCTCACCTGCGTGCACACTTGCACAAGCTTCTCCCTCTCACTTCATTAGAAAAAGCTCTTTCTTTCTCTCCCACTTCTCTAGAGAAAATAGGGCTCTCTCTCTTTCCGAAATGACTTACAGCATCTTCAATAGGCGCACAAATATTTAGCGCCCTAAAATAGTTTTTAGCGCGCCAAGGCGCACAAATATTTAACGCCCTAAAATAGTTTTTAGCGCGCTACTGTAGTATTTATAGCGTGCCGGAACCAACATTGCTTTTTCAGATGTTCAAAAATGCGTGCCTAAAAAACGCGCAGTGTAAATTATGAAACGCGCGTAATCCGGCGCCTCAAATTTGTAGCATGCTAGCGTTTTTCAGCATGCGTCTAACCCTTTTTTCGGACGCATTGTTTTATAGTTTCTGCTGGAACTGTCCGGCATCCAAAACCTGAATTTTTGTGTGCGTAGTAGTTTTTGAGCCTTTGTTGGAGATGCTCTTAGTTTGCACTTATAACCAATAGAAAAAAATAAAGCTCTCTCTCTCTTTTGACCGTCAACGTTCAGCGGTCATCGCGCCGCCATCCGACGTGGTACTTAATGGAGATGTCCTTCCGGTAGATGCCTTATTGTTGGGCAAATGATTTGGCCATTTATATCGAGTTATACGGGCCAATCCGTCAGTCGTGTTGGCCGAAGAGCTTCTTACAGATAGACGCGTATATTTTCTTAGAGGTAATAGGTACCCTAACTTGCACAATTCCAAACTTGCAAAACTTGACTCCATCATACCTCAACTTACACCTTATGTGATGATTTAGTCCCAGATCAATCACAACTCGACAATTGGCAGCCAGATGGCTGGACCGGTCAGCGCACGCACTTTTATAGAAACCCCCCTACCGTTTTCTCTAATCAACCCGCACTCACCTTCACCTGAATTAAATCTGTCAGAATCGAGTTGGCGTCCGTTCGAGGAGAGTTCACTTGGTCGCTATCGAGGCGACAGAGCTCATAGGCTGGCGAGGCGACAGAGCTCACGAGTTGGCGGCCGTTCGAGGAGGCCGCCGCCTAGGCCCATACGTGCCTGGATGCGCTGTGTCTGCTCGCGCTCACTAGAGATGCGCCGGCGCCGCGGACGAGCTCACCCTCGATGGGAAAGGGCCTGCCGGTGATGCCATCACGCCGCCTCCTCCTCCGTCTCCAGTCCCCACCACCGCTGCTGCCGCAGCCCCAAACGAGGCCGGAACCGGAATCGCAGCCGCAAGAAGCTAAGGCGGAGGCGGAGCCGGGCACCTCCAAGCAGCACTCCTCGCCGCCGCAGCCGGAGGAGCCTTCGCGGGTGGAGCACAACATCATGGGCGTCATGAAGGCCATGCTGGCCATGGGAGCGTTCCCCGACGAGCGCTACGCCCTCTACTTCGGGGACTTCTTCAAGGCATACCTCCAGGCACCCAGGCCCATCGACCCGCCACCGCTGCCGGACGCCGCGGGGACGGCGGGGCTGGGTCGATCCAGAAACGCCATCCTTACCTCGCCGACGAGGTGGCCAGGATGGAGAAAGCGGCGGAGCAGCGTAAGGTGCTGAGCAGAGGCCTGCTGCAGGCGGAAGCTGCCACGCTAGCCGCCCTGGAAGCAGAGTTCAGCGAGGCGACGTTGGCCGGCAAGGAGGCTATGCAGGCCAAGTTGGAGGCGGAGGTGCAGTACGCCAAGGCCAGGGTTGACACGGAGGCCATGGCTGAGATGGTTAGTGGTGGCAAAGTTGGTTGTTATTTCTGTGATGTGCAGATGCAATGCAAATGGAAGCCATTTGCTATAGTGGCTACTAGTATCAGGCTTGGATCGAACTATGAAAGAAATGTTGATCAGGAGGTGACCATGCACTTTGTATCGTGGACATGTTTAATGTATCTAGCTAGCAATATTTGGGGCTATTTGCATCAATGTAGACTTGAATCTAATCTGGCCGGAATGACCAATTTCTCAATCTACTCTGTTCATAAGTATTGTATCCTCTATTCTCTTCGTCTGCGAACATAGAAATTTTGGCAAAAAATGTGTCAAGAATCAGCAAAACTAGTACTATACATTTACATTGTAACATCCCAAAATTCTAAATTTTGGAATGTTATATTAAATAGATAGACTTGATTGATTGTTTGATTGATTGACTAAAAGTGAGTGAATTCGAAACTTTTTAAAAGTTAAATGAGAGGAAATAAAAGGACTTTCCCAAACTTTCATATTTGCTTTCTGATCTCCATGAATTCAAATTCTTTTCAACACAAAACCCTAGAGAGAAGATGACATGACTTCTTCCATTTAAAATGAAAAGGGTGTTTGAAAAATATTTGAATTCCATTGGGAAATATTTTTCCGATTTAGAAACTTTATGCAACTCAATGATTTTCACGAGAGAAAATAAAATGACTTCTTCAAATTATGAAATATGAGTTGGGAGTTTCAAAGGATCGATTTCAAGTCCTTTTGGAATTAATTTCCAATTTGGATTTATTTGAGTTTTATTCAAATTATTTTTCTCCAAAATAAAGATATATGGAAAATAGGGTAACATGATTTCCTACAATATAAAATTGGAGAAAAATTAATTTGAAATCATTTTGGTATTTTTAAAATGATTTTTATTGTATTTTATTAGACCAGTAGCACTCTTTGAATTATCTGGATTTTTGTGCACTTTATTTGAAGTAATAAAAATGTTCAGCATGTAGGAAATCTTTTTCTGAAAATTTTGATATATTATATGCCTATATAAATTTTTTATTTATGTTGTTTTTATCCGTTTTGTTTGTCTGGAAAAATCTTTATTTAAAAAAAACTTCCCATCGAAACTGAGCCGGCCCAGCTCCCAGCCGAGGCCCAGCCCAGCTCGCCCGACCGCCCCGTCTCCGCCTCCCGCACGGCGACCGCTGCCGCCGCGCCTCGTGTCTGACCGGGACACGCCCCGCCGCCGCCTTGCGCTGCCCCCTCCTCCAAGCTTCGCGCCGCCCCCTCCCCTCCTTAAATAGTGCGGCACCCGGGCGCCGTCCCTCTCACCTCGCCGCCCCGCCGCATCTCGCCGCCTGCAGATCCGCCGCTACCTCGCCGGACTTCGCCGCCGCTGCTGCACACTCCGCCGCCCCGTGCCGCGCGCCGCCGCCGCTGCTGCTTCCCCGCTGCTGCCGTCGGCTTGCTGCTCCGCCCCGTGCCGCTCCTCGCCGTCGCCCGCACTGCCGCCCAGCTCGCCGGTGATCTACCGCCTCGCCGGACTCCAACCGCCGCGGAAAAACCGCCGCCGGCATCGAACCACTGTGAACCGGTAAAAAAAAAGTCCGCCCGGTTCGTCGGTTTATTTTTTTGGGTTTTGGTTTTCGTTTTAAAAACCGGTATAGTTCTTTTAGTTAGATCTATTTAGAGAACGTTCGCTGGTGAGGTATAGAAAACGAACGTTCGCCTTTAGTTTTTTTTCTTTTTCTGTAATTTTGGCCAGGGACCTAGATGTGAATACTTTATTTACAGAATAGTCCCTGTATTTCAAACAAGCACAACTTTTTACTCGTCAGTCCAAATTCAACGAAACCAACGCTCACATCTTCGTTATGATCCCCTCTATTCGGATAAACAACTTAAACATGTTTTTGAAAAGTTTAAAATTTGAATTAGATCAGATTTGAATTCAAACTTCATTTGATCATAACTTGAGTTTCGTAGCTCCGTTTGAGTTGATTCTTTTTGCAAATCAAAGCTCTTGACCTAAACATTCTAATAAGGCCAAATTCATATAATTTTGGTACTGTTAGAAATTGTTTTATGTTGCAAGAGTTATTTGCTTGGTTTCGATGTTTTCTGATTTGTTTTCTTCGTTCTTCCCGATCTTTTGAGTGATTGCTTATGTGTGGTTACTATTGCTTGCTTACGATAGATTGACCGGAGTGTGACGAGTAGATCTATCAAGAGTTTTGAGTGCGAATCATCTTCATCAACATTGCAGGCAAG